CGGCCGCCGCCCTTCGCCCCCCCCTCCGCGCAGTCCCTCTGAGGAGATGGGCGGTGAGAGCCCAAGAAAAAGGGGGCCCCTTTTAAGAAATAAAAATTTAAAAGGTGTGTGCTGTTCTATTTTAGTCTGTGTATGTTATGTATACACACACTCACATAAATACTGTACATGTACGCACACACATAAATACCATGTTGTAATATGCTGTATTATAGTATAATATATCTACTATGATATATCTAATATAGAGAGATATATAGCTATAGATATATGATATTTTTGGGACACACACATAACATTTCTTTTCCTGTTTTAGAAGGTGTCGCGCTGTATATTGGCCGCAAAAGAGGGGGGGAACACCCATGTTCCTTGATTTTGTGTCAAGCACACAACTATCATCCCTTAGGAAAGAACTAAGAATAATAACTACTTTTCTGGTCTTATTATTTTTTTAAATAAAGGCACAAGGGTTGTTTTGCCCTGGAGGAGAAATAAGGATAAGGCCTGTCGCTGCCACTGTGACTTGGTTTTCCAAGAATGAGGGAAGAAATATATATTTAATTAGAAATACTGTATATTTTATAGAGGAGAAGTAATAATGTCTCCTTTTCCTGTTGTTCTCCTAAGGCCCCAAATTACATGGCATTAGATGAGAAATAAAAATATTCATTTTTCCTGCTCTTGTCGTTAGGCTTCAAATTACCTTATAATTATTGGTACTATTGCTTTTGTAGAGCGTGCAACTGCATTGCCTTACAAAAGAACTAAAGAAAATCACTATTTTTCTGTTATTTCCTAAATCAGCCAAAACAATCTACTGCTGTAGAGGAGATATAGCAATAATGCCCATTTCTGCTGTTACTTTTATTTTTATAAGCCATTGTTTCATTATTAATGGAGAGGAGAAATAGTATTATTTGCCTTCTTATTTTTATAAGGTCTAGAACCAGGATGAATTTGATTTCACATTTGATTAAATCACATTTGATTTAAATCAAAACATCTGGGTTTTTTACATTTAAATCATGATAAAAATAGATTTTTTAAAAATATTTGATTTTATCCAACTTGTCCAGAACTAAATCACGTTAGAACAAGTAACTGTAACACTTCTTCCTGTTACTGATGCTGTAAAGGCATACAAAATATACTGCCATAGAAAATAAAGAATAATTGTTTTTCCTGGTTTTATATGTTAGTTGGTGACCAGGATCCTATTCCCAATATTTGCTTGCACACAAGCAGCGCCTTGTTACTGAGCTGCCTTATTTTTTTTTCCAAGACTTACACCTTTACCTTTGTGCAGGTGGGAAGCAGCAGCAGGATTATGGCCATTTTTTTCCTAGGGCAATGTAACTGCAATTACAATTAATCCATATTATTATTCCTTCTATGGCAATATCATTCTCTGTCATTATTACCGCTGTTGTTAATAATCATTTTTATTTCAGTTTAGGGCAGTACCGCTCTCCAACCATTAATCTTACTATTGTTTCTTCTAAGGTGATGCTGCCTCTCTTGCGTTTTAAGAAACGAATTATACACGCAACGATGAAACAGGTTTTCCAGCTTGGAAGCAAGCAAAGATTCTCACTCAGATGACACAAGCTAAGTTCTTCTCATTCTTCTGTCTCCCTGGTTTCCATCCATTCTTTATGTATTTGTTTATAAGTAGACTTACTGAGCCTCCATCAGCCTGGAGAACAGCCCCAGTGGCAGTTCAAAACAACACAAAAAAATAATAACCTGTGGTCATTTACATGAGCCCATGTCAGAGCCGGGCATGAAACCTGATTTGAGGCTACTTTCAATTTCTCAGTCTGATCTACCTCCTAGGGTTGTGGTGAGGAAGCTTAATGGAAAACAGTCACATCCACCCGCTTCACTGGAGAAAAAGCAGATTAGATGCATAAATAAAACAGAAGATAAAAGTGATGCAATGTTGGAACCCTGGCGAAGCTTTTAAAAATATCAATGCAAGGAGTCTGTCAAATCTCTTCTGGGGAGAACTTTACAACTGGGGGGTGAGTTAGGTGGTCTGGATTTCTCTGGGCAACAGAACACAAAACCCATTGCCATTACTCGGGAGATTACATGTGCTTCATAGCTATTAAAAGAAGAGTGATTTGGCTGGAAGCCTTAATGTTATTAATATAGTGCAATCAAAGTGCATGATGTATTAATACAACATGCATCAAAACGTTCTTACGAACACCAACTCTCGGTCCTCAAAAAGGACCCATTTGCCATATTGAAAGAACCCGGTTTAAACAGATCTGGCAAGACTTCAAAAGTTGGAGAAATAATAGAGTTTTAGTCTTTCATGTAAAAATAAAAATAAAAATTTTAAAAGGCTTACACAAAGTCTAATAGAAAGGATGTTGAGAAGATTCTTTGCATGGTGAAGAAGAAGCAACAGAAGGAAGTGATGGCAGGAGCAGAGCAGGAACAACTGTTATTTTTATTATCAGAATTATAGTTTAGAGAGATGACAGCCAGAATCTTTGTATTCATGTAATATTTCCATAACATGCTGCAGCTAATTGATGAGATGCTAGGGAAGATCTTAGTTGTCCAGTTGGACACATAACTAAAGTGTGACATGGTAGCTTATGAAACCTTAAGCAAACTTCACCAATAGGATTCTGGCATACAATTTTCTAAGTACAATGCCAGGCTTTCAAGCTATGGACGGATTTCTACAGATTATCCACAATCTGACCATTTTATTTATATGTTTCAGCATTCTGATAATTTATTTGCCCCTTTAAAATCTTCTCTACTGGATATCTTCAGAAATGATTTCCCTGCTCTTGAACAGGTGATCTGAGTAGCCCACAACTCATTCGTTTATGTTTAGGCCTCATTCATAGAGAGAGCGAAGACTGGAAAAGTATAATTTCCAAAACAGCAATGTGTAAAAAAGGATAAAATTCTAGCAACGTATATATAGCCAAAAAGCATCCATAAGCAATTACTAACAATTGACACACAAATAAAAATAATACTTCTTACCCTGGGTGGAAGACAGTCGGTGCTGTAACCTTACACAAGAGGAGAACTGAAAGGGGAGACGAGGAAGACGAGCAAACCTAAGCATTAATTCTGAATATTATGTCATTCATACGGTTGTGATCGGCTTGAGCAGAGGCAGTTCAGGGTGAAGAAGGGGTAATGTGCACTTAATTCGACTTCATGCACTTGGAGTCAGGGTGCGTCTATGTGGGACATATGCTGCTCCTGATGCTTTTTCACAATTAATAGTCGATGCACTGGCTCCTTCTCTGGTCACCCTGCACTTGTAAATCCCCTTACCTCTCACTCTCCTGTCCGCAGGGGGGCAGGTGTTGAGCATCTGCAAGGATGCATGCAGATCGGGATCCTATGAAGGGATTGTTGGGTTTTTAAATATATCCTGTCTAGAACAGCCCTGCTCAGATCTTGCAAACTTAAGCCATATATGTGGCTATTTCTAAGGTGCTAGTGCCTTCCCATCAGTGGCAGCTTACAAAGATGAGCAAAAGGGGGGGGACACATTAAAATAGAACATGCAAGAGAGTATGTGTGTCCATCTGTCTCCCCAGCTGGAAGGTCCATGGAGTGCATTGAGGCGGAGGTCAGGGTATATAGCATTTCAACTCAAGGGAGCGGAGGGGGAAGGATAACAGGAATAATACAAGCATTATTTGCCAAAACAAAATCTTAAAAGGAAGACAAACACAGCACTCACATTGAAATTTGAATTATCCAACAGGCCCATTGACATTAAAAAAAACCTGTCTTAATCTAACACCTAATATTTAAAAAAATATAAAGGAACAAAGGAGTGTTTCTGGGAAGAGAATTCCGTAAAGTTGGCCCAGAGGTCGACAGTAACTAGTTACAGGCAATCTAGTTATCTGTAATTAGTTCCTGGGTTAATTATGAGTAACTATTCTTCCAGCTTTTGCTGGATCACAATTCCAGCCTTCTTCGGACACTGTCACGGGCTGGGAAGTCCCGTTGGACTGACGGGGACTCTTATGAATGGGTGGCATCCCGTAAATCCTGTCTTGAACAGCCCTGCTCAGATCTTGCAAACTCAAGGCTTTGGCTTCTATGATGGAGTCTGTCCATCGTGCATTTTGTCTTCCTCTTTTCCTCTTGTCTTCTGATTTTCCCACCATGGTTGACTTTCCCCAGCATTCCTTGGACTGACGGGGACTCTTATGAATGGGTGGCATCCCGTAAATCCTGTCTTGAACAGCCCTGCTCAGATCTTGCAAACTTAAGGCCGTCTATCCATCGTGCATTTTGTCTTCCTCTTTTCCTCTTGCCTTCTGATTTTCCCACCATGGTTGACTTTCCCCAGCATTCCTTTTCCCATCAGCTTCTTTGGCCTCGGGAGTGCCCTGGGAGTTGTAGTCTCCTCAGCTACATCTGGAGGGCTACAGCATGCCCCATTTACGGAAATCTGAAAGCTGCAGAGCAAGAGGTTGGGGTCTCTCTCCTTAACGGGCTGGACGCCGTAATCCACAGAGCTGCTGTTCCAGCTCTGCAGTTCTAAGATTATGATGATTAAACTATAATTATTTCTGTTGTTATCTAAAAAAGAACTTTTTCAGCAGATGTCCCTTAACAGGGGCTGGACTCTGCAATCCACAGAGCTGCTGTTCTGATTAAACTATAATTATTTCTGTTGTTTTCTAAAAAAGAACTTTTTCAGCAGATGTCCTAAAATCCAGTTGTGTTATACACATCCCTTCCTTCCAGATTCCTTAACATGCTCTTCCTAGATCTTAAAATCATTGTTTTGGAACGACAGCCCCCAGCCTTAGCAGCCTCTCCATCCTTAGCTCTCACTACCCGCTCTCCAGAACTTGGAAAAGTGACCTTTTCGACCCGCTACCTCCTGAGGCCTCCGGCATCTACCCAGTAAGGCTTGTTCACCTTTAAAGCCATGTAACGTGGTTTTTGCTGCGGCTGACTGACACAGCTGCCCCTCTGGGAATTTTTGCAGTCCTATACTGTACGCACTTCCTGAGAGTAAGTCCCCTTAAACTCATTGAATCCAAGCCAACCTATACAGAATGATATCAATGGTTGCTATTGTTTCCTGGTAAAGCACTCTGAAGGATACCTCAGATTGGCTTTGTGTCTTTCTCTGTTGGGCTTCCGTCAGATTCTCCTGCCGTGGAGAATCTCGGGTGTCTTTATTTTTATTTATTTATTTATTTATTGGACTTATATACCACCCCATAGCGCTATAAGCACTCTCCGGGCGGTTTACAATTTTTAATTATACAGGCTACACATTGCCCCCCCTAGCAAGCTGGGTACTCATTTTACCAACCTCGGAAGGATGGAGAATCTCGGGTGTCTTTAGCCTCCAAGTTTGGCTTGAAGGACAGGCAGGTAGATGAGCCATATCTGTGACCCTTTTTTTCCCCTCTGTGATTTGAGAAAAGTAGCACAGTTGAGTCCTATTACAGCTGCTGGTTCCAATATAAACATTTCAACAGTCCAATTGTATGCCTTTCTCCTTCACAATTCTTAAGGCACTCAAGTCTGCCCGTAAGACTTCGTTTGCCGTTAGAGGAAGGGTAGGAAACTTCAGGCCCTGGGACTCAAAAATCCAGTCTTCTGGGTTTTCCCCCAGATGCTTCCACTTCCTGCCCTAGAACACTGTCTTTGGGGGTTCTCCAGCTTTTATGTGGGACTTCATTCAAAAAAGGCTGAAATGTGATACTTAAAAGCTTCATAGACGTGGGTCAACTGCAGGCTGGCAAGAGTTTTGTGGATCGAGAGGATGACCGATGGAGAAGTACGAAGGCAAATGAATCAAGACTAAGAAATTGTTAAAGCACGGAAGTGCAGAAAGCTAGAAGACTTTGGTCAAGGGATGGAAAGCGAAAGGGGCAGATAGTTACAGCTGATCAATCCAGGTGGAATAAATGGGAAAGAAGGAGAAAAATGGCCTCTTTGGGTTGAAAGAGAGCCCATATCCTTTGCAGTAAAAGTTAGGTGTGGGGCGCATGATTGGGAAAGGACCTTTTCTGTGGTGGTGCTGAGGGTTTTCAGACCTCCAGAATCTAGATGGGGTCCCCATGGGATGCCTGTTACAGCCATGAAGGTTTGTGTGTTCTAACTACAACACCCAAAATTCACCAGGCAGGATGGCCCCTAGATTTGGGGGTCACGGAACCCAAAAATGTAAAATCAACACACCTTGAATTGGTCCGCTCCCTTGGGTCTCCAGGTGAGTCGATCAATCTTAGGGCAACCCGTGTTAGAACCTGAGGGACGGTCTCCACCCATCTCCAGCCAGCCCGAGGACTCCCTGACTCAACACAAAGCTCCCGGTGGTGAGGGGTTGCCTCTGTGCAGGATCAGTGCCTGAAGAACCCAGAAACTAGGGCAGGGGGCTGGAGGAAGAACTTGAAGGTGTGAATAGATAGCCCTGCAGGCTTTTTGGTCCCAGCCCAGAGGGATGTGAGTCTCAATGCCAGTTTGCAAAAAGAAAAGGATCGCTGGAGGGAGCAGGCACTATCCTTTCACTTGGAGGAGGAGGAGATAAGCCCTCGTCACCTCAGCTCAGGTCACAGAATTTCAGGATGCTTGTGACGGGACAGGCACTAAAAGTTGGGAACTGCAAGGCGTTGGGGGACAGGAGTCTTTCCATTCATTCGGCCTTGTAAGCCAGGACACCTGGTCTGTTGCAAGCCTTTCTCCCTGGCACGCTCTTCAGAAAAAGATCCAGAGCCTTGCCTTGAAAGGCAGTGTGTCTCCCCCCCCCCTTTCTTCCGTAGAGAAGGTGAGCGGAAAAAGCCCAAAAGGACTGGAGAGTGGGCTTTTCTGCTCACCTGATGCGGTTAAAGAAAAGATCAAAGGACCAATGAAAAAAGGGGTGAAAAATAAAAGAATGTAAAAGACAGTCCTGAAACACTCTAAAGAGGCAGGCATGGGTGTTTTTAGCATCACAAAACCATCTTTGTATGTTTATTTTCAAAGGAAATAAGACTTTGGAGGGATAACACATGGAATATCCAGAGCTTCTGTGAAGCATCAAACGCTTAAGTGCCAATTGTATGCCAAAGCATGGAGATACAGTACTTTATAAAAACAGTGGGTTCTACTTAGTTGAAGTTACCATCTTAGGGTCTATTATACATGATAAAGTGAGAGCTTCATTATTAGGTTTAACAATTGTCCCCCCCCTCAATCATCAGTGTCTGATTTCCTAATGTATTGCTTAATCTTTTTGTAAGGCCATGGGTTTGTTCCCACAAATCATTTCCCCTGGCTGTCCCTTTTTCGTTCCAGTCTGGACTCCCCCTCCCCCCCGCCGCTGGGGGCTTCTACTTTTTCTAACCACAACCATTTGAAACGTGTTTAACCTGTGTGACCGCTTGTTTGGTTCTACCCAAGGACTGGCGGGTGGGGGCGGCATCATAACTTTGGGTGGTTTTCTGATGACGTACGTAGTGACAGGGAGACATGATATTTTGGGATAGCAGGAATGCCCACTCCTCAATCTTTCTCCCTAGTCACCAGAAATATTTTGTGTGGGTTTTTTTTTAACTAGCAGAGTCTCGCGTTAGCTCACCTTAACACTGCAGTGCTACATTAGTTTAGCGCTAGATTACCTATGAACAGACAAAAGAAAGGGAAATTAAAATCTATATAAAATCAGAACAATGCCAACCAACTCCAGCACACTGCAATGTGTTCTGTAGTGATGTACAGAGAAGTTTGGAAAACTATTTTTTTCTCCCCATTGTTGTGCAACCCTTTGAACGTTTCCCAAGGGCTTGATGCAGACCCTCAAAAGAGAGAGCCAGTGTCCAGCAGGAGGGTGGAATCAAAGGAAGAGGGGCCGTGCGTCTGGGTCAAACCTCATGGATGGAGGGGCCAGCGTTGGACATTGGCCCCGAAACAAGCTAGGGGTCCTCATGAAGTCACCTAGACTGAGTGAAGCCACAAAAGGGGCTGTGAATCACAACAATACAAAGCGGATCAAGCTTTTCTGCATCGCTGCATGCTTATAAAGGCCCTTCCACCGTGGAAATGCCACCCTCCGCAGATGATCCGGAAGGTGTCCAGTCCTTTACAGGTACCCACCTCCCAGTTTAGAGGGCAACAAAGGTGTGCTTTGTAGGATCCCACTCTGCAGGGCTATAGATAATTTTTTAAGTGCAACACCATGCCCGTCTCCCTTGCACGGGCCTGATGGGCTGCACCATTGAGGCTCAACCTCTCCGACCATCAGGCATAAATCCGGTGGAGCAAACATTGCCATAAACGGTGGTTCGTGTATTTACAGAAGGGAATTAGCACTGAGATCTCTCTTCCCATTCATTTTTCATTGCTTAGCAATGCCCCTCTCTTTCTCTCTCTCTCTCCCTCCCGCCAAGACAAATATTTCATGGTGGCAAAAGCCAAATGCTCAAGTCTCCTCAAGTGTCACTTTTAGGCCATCTGAGCAAGCCAGAATGGTAAGACAAATATTTAATGGTGGCAAAAGCCAAATGCTTAAGTCTCCTCAAGTGTCATTTTTAGGCCATCTGAGCAAGCCAGAATGGTTTTCCCTCTTTTTCCTTATTTTTTTCTCTTTTAGTTGCTTTTTGAACTTCTCAGTCCTGCGCCGCTTTCACTCAAATGCTTGCAAAGGGCTTCTTGTCAGATAAAGTTAGATTTTTCCCGGGTAACTCGCTGGACTCAGGAACTTCCTCCGGACCTCAGATCCAACGAAGGCTACAATCCAAGGGGGAGAGATTAAGTCATCAAAAGAGGAATGCCATCTATTAAGGAGGACACCTTGACTGCCATGGCCTACCAGCCATGTAGTGGGAAGAATTGAAAAAATGTCGAAATTTTTGTCCAAAAAAAGCATACTGTTATGAAATAATGGCCAGGCGATTCCTCTTGTAGTTGGTCTTCCTTCTTTCCTGCTGCCTTCAACTTTTCCTAACATTATTGTCTTTTTCAGCAAGTCTCATTTTTTCCATGATGAGCTCAAACTGCAACAGACTCAGTTTCGTCACTGTCGCTTCTGGAGATGCTCCAGGCCAGGGAGGTTCAATGACTCACAACTTGGACCCATTTTTCTGAGTCATGTTGCTGAGTACCTATTCTTTTAATGAAGCAAACCATAAACCCAGAAGAAGCTTTGCAACTCCCACCAGAAGACATGGGAGAGGCAGTCAAATGGCAGAGGAGGAGGCTGACGGGGAGGGAGTTTTTATGAGAGGGTGGAGGGCAGAGGGAAGGCGAGGCAGGCAGGGCAGATGGGACCAAAAGTGGGTCATTTACACACACAGAACCGACCCACCTACATCCTTTTTCCTGGGGGGGGAAGTGTTTTTTAATTGGGACTTGGGATTTAATACCGAACACTCGAACTCAGGACTTGGTGCCAAAGATCTAGACTTGAACTTGGGACTTCGTACCAAAAATCTAGACTGAAACTCGGGACTTCGTACCAAAGACTTGCCAACAGCCCTAATTTGGGCTTGATTTGGTCCAGAACCCCCTTTTTCATTTTCCTGGCAATCCGGGTTCTCCCCAACACCTTCTGCTAACACCATATTTTGAAGTAATCCATTTTTTTTTCCCTCTGGTTGGCTTTCTTCACTGGCTTGCTTTCAGATCTCAAGACAGTAACTGGGAATATGACCGCGTAGATCAGGGGTGTCCAACCTTTCACCTTCCCTGGGCCACATTAAAACATGAAAATTTGGTTTGGGACACACATACATTTGGTTTGGGCCGCATGGGGGGGCAGCCCTAGCCATCCTCCGCAGCCCTGCTCCAAGCGCGCTTACCGGCAGCTGCGATCTCAGACAGCAGAGGCTGCCAGCTTCGATTCTGGCGGCTTTATGGGGCCGGGAGGGGGTCCACCTATTGAGGGGGACGGCTCAATGCAGTCACGCAGCCCCCCTGTCCCCTCCCCTCCCACTCCTTCCTTCCTTCCCTCTCTCCCCCTCTACTGTTGTGACATGCCCCGGCCACATTCCGGCTGCAAGCGCCAGCAGTGTAACTTGAAACTTTGGAATTTCTTTAAAAATAAAAAATTGCACTGGGCCGCATTACAAGCTGACCTGGGCCGCATGTGGCCCTCGGGCCGCAGGTTGGACAAGCCTGGCGTAGATGATTTTGGACTCAGTCTCCCATGCCATGTCCTTCCTCTTGACGATCTTTCCTGCTTCCTTCATTTTCAGAAAATTACCTGTGTCATGTTCTCAAACACAGGTACGTGTTCAAATCACACTCTGAAGGGTGTGTGTGTGTGTGAAATCCTGCTAAATGGCAGAACTGTAAAAATCTAACCCAAACATCAAAGTATATATTTAAAAGCAGGGATCCTCTCAGTAGTTTTTTTTAACACTTTGAACAAACACCAGAATGTTTTTGCTCCTGTCATTTCATCTGCAACCACTTCTTGACATTTACGCAGCCAGTATTTTAAATTTTTTTTATTTAGAAAAAAATATTATGATTTACAGCGTGAAGCCAGTTGCGTGAATCTTCTGCCAAATTTAAGGAAGGAGAACATCATTTCAGTGTCCTTCCGACCGTTTAACTAAGCACCATGGGCCTTGGACCATGGACAAGAGGCGCTGATCTCAGGTATACAGTCAATAAAACACTTCTAACATTATTTTCCCCCCACAACCTCTTATTTTTACAAAAAATAACATGCCCTTTTAAGGAGGTGTTTGGGAAGGCGGTGGAGAATCAAATAAGAGAGGATGCCAAGTCAACAGAATGAGAATTATGTAAATCTGAAGGTCTTTCTCTCCTTACAGCAAGAGGCAAAATTATTCTCTCCACCCCCAGCCACCCCAGATATTGGGAAGATGCATTTTTTTTCAAATTTTTTATTAATACAACATAAACCTACTACCACACAAAAACTATAAAAACAATAAAAAAACAATAAAATACAATTACACAAGTGCCCCCATCACCATCAGGACTAGCATTAAACTTCATTCAATCTATTTTCACTCCAAAATTTCATTGTTTCTTCCCTTGGTGTATACCCCTTCCCTCTCCAAAATACATATTCCAAAAATACATTCCATATTTTCTTGAAATCATTATTTTTCAATTGGCCTCTTCTTATTTTCATATCACACATCAGTTTATCATTAAACGCCATATCCCATAATTCTCTATACCATTCCTCTAAATTAAATTGATTATCATTTTTCCAGTTTCTTGCAAAAACTAACCTTGCAGCCGTAATCATTATTACTATTAAATCCTTATTTTCTTTCAACAATTGATCTTTCTTATTCACATTCAGTAAAGCCATTAATGGAGACATTTGAATATTCAATCCAATTATTTCAGATATTTCTTTAAAAATTAAATTCCATTCTTTCTTTCTTATTTCACATAACCACCACATATGTGGATGTGTTCCCTTCTCTTTTTTACACCTCCAACAAAATATTGACACACTTTTATCTATTACTGTATATTCATTTTCACCGGCGTTAAATACTACCTCCTTATTACTTTGTAACAATTTTCTTTTATCCTTACTGACATGTTCTTCATAATTCTCTGATCCCATATGCATTATTATAAGTGAATTACAGTATTTTAAAGATTTGATCACATTCTGGGGTGGTGTTGGCTGTGTGTGTGTGTGTGTGTGTGTGTGTGTGTGTGTGTTGGGCAGCTGTTCTTTCTTTCTTATCTATATTTTGTCTTTCTCCAGAATGGCAACCTCAGCTGAAAGACAAGGGAAGCTCGAAAGCACCATGGACGTTAAATAAAACCTTTATTTCATCTGCGGTCAAGTCAAGACTTGCAGCAGCCGTAATGGGGCCTTCAAGGTAAGTGAGATATTTAAGGAGTGTTTCTACCAGTGCACGCCCCCATACACACCAGTATGTCTCCATGGCTGAGCAGAAATTTGAACCCAGATCTTCCTAGTCCTATTCTGTTGCTTTATCTACTGCAGCACACCAGGTACCCTTATTTTAACAGGGTTCAAACGCATTTTAGCTATTGCAAATGGCTAGGGCAATAGCTACTGTAAATGGCAACCCACAGTTTTCTGAGGTCACCTTTTAATTTTTGGCTTTCTGGGGGAGAGAGCAGAGGAGACGACACGCCTTGCCCGTTTTTTTATCTCAAGATAATTCGGCATCCAATTATCTTTTCTAACTCCATATCGTTCCCGAATAAACAGTAGTCTTCTCATTTTCCTCACACAATAAGTGCTTTCTTTCCAAAGGCAAACACGTGCTCTGCTAATTAATTTGATTTTCCGACTGCTTGGGTATAAAGGGGAATGCAGAGCAGGGAAAAGTAACTCTCCCCATCTTAGTTGTGACCTATTTTGGTGCAGTCAGTTGGGTCTAGCGGAGCCCCATTTGAATCCATGGCATTTATAGAGGAGTTGACTCCTGCAACCCCCTGCAGATTCAATGGGCCTATTCTAGTGTAAGTGACTGTGCTATGCAACAGGCTTTCAGCCATTGAACGATATTACTTTGGGGGCATTATTTTTCAGCAGTGGGTGTTAATTTAAAAAAAAAAACAACCCTAACATTGAGGACACCGGCGCAATAGCAACAGATTCATTTACTCATGAGTACCAAGTAATCTTGCAAAAATTACCAGTTCGAACACCTTTATGGGCTAATTCCAGTTACCCATAAAGTGGAAGAAAAAGATCACCCACAACACAAGGGCTATAAATTATTTATTCTGCAGAATAAAGAGGTACACATGGGTTAATACCTGAACAATGTGTCTCTGAGGTTCCAGATGTGTGCCAGCATTTATATACGTTACTAACCCTGTGACGCGGACCTTACCTGTGTTCCACATCTGGCTAGGACAGCTAATTTCTGGGATGGCTGATTTCTGCCCTCTCGCTTGGCTGTCACGTCTGTAACAGTCCCGTGTCGCCCTGTTCTTGTTTCCCTTGATCAGGCCTTGATCCATCTCCTAACCTGGTAAGCGCATACAAAATGGCATTCCTCATGCTAAGCAAAAGCATGATTGGAAATACATTGCTAATTGTGTGAATGGCAGGGCCTTATAAAAGCGTGCTCCTTATATACCGCCCCATAGCATTTAAAACACTCTCGGGGTGGTTCACAATTAAATGATGCAGGCTACACATCGCCCCCCCAGCTCCAGCAAACTGGGGACTCCCATTTACTAACCTGGGAAGGACGGAAGGCTCAGTGAACCTTGAGCCAGCTATTTGGGATTGAACCTGGGTTGTGAGCATGGGCGCAGGGTTGCAGTTTAAACACTGTAACTTTCTTTCCCCACACTGTTGGATCTGATCAAACCAAAATTTCAAATCAGTGAATGAATGAGGGCTATATCACTTCATGGTGGACATCATCCACCTTGCCAAGTTCCTGCCTCTGTTGCTACCCAAGGGGTGCTTTGAGATTTCAACCCTAGCCTGCCTATTTTTAAGTCTTTGTATTCACCCATGTTACTTCCATTTCCAACTACAGTACCAAATTTACATGGGGGGTGGGGAATACAGTGCACCCGAAGTGAAGAATCGTCCATTTCTTCATAAAACATTTTAAACGTAAAGCCTTGTGCTTCCCATCACGCTGAAGTATTGTTCCTGGAGCCGTAGAACGCCAGGTGGGAGCATTTAATGAGATGCATTAAGCCCCGTGTTCAGGGAATACCTTGACAGAATAAGATATTCTGTGCTGACTGACTTAACTGGGGAGAAAAATTTATTTCTCTGACAGCGAAACCTGTGCCTTGGGGGAGAGGGGGATCTCAACCCCTCAACTACCTGCTTGTCATCCTAGTGAAAGAGGGATAGGAGGCGGGGAGAAAGGAGAGACTGCCCAGTCATTTGCTGTACCCTATTGCTGCAAGTTGGAGGCAACAGGAAAAGAGGAAAACTGAATATGAGATGGATTTCCTCTGTATAGGAAGCCATGGTTTTCTGTTTGCAAGTGTTTGTGACCAGACACTTTGAAGGTTACTCATTCTGAGGGTCGCCATAAATTGGAAGCAACTTGATGGCACCGGATGAGAACAACACGATCAACAACCACAAACGAGAATCCTACTGTTCCATTCCCCATCGGCCTATATTATCCAGCTGTGGACTCTGTTGCTGTGTTTTGAATTTCTGGTTGAGTTGCTCCAGCGGTGCAGCCGACGAGCACGGATTCACAGAGCCAAATAGCTCCGAATTCCCCAGAGGAGTCCACCCCTTTTTTTTCTAATCAACTGGCACTTACAGTCTCCATAACTCGCTCAAAGACATTGGTAGGAGAAAGAATAAAGCTGTGTCCTTACTTACAATTGAGCAGATCAAACAGCAAACTGATAACTGAATCAACATGACTTCGTTTAGCAACAGACTGTGTTCATCAGACAACGGGGGTGGGGTGGGGGAGAGACACAGAGAGGTGAAGCTCTCTTTGAACTTAGAGGCCGTACAACTCCAGCCTGCTCCCCATCCCAGCTGTTGAAATACCAGCTCACAACCTACATAATCTCACAGAGACCTCAGAAGGATGCTGGCCAATGTCTGGCTGGCTAGTTATACCAATGTCAATGCCATGGTGTCCACAGCCCTGCTGAGCTGCCGTTAATTAACCAGTTGTGGCTCATCTCCCTCATTGTGCACTGGTTCACAACGCTGATGCACAATGAGGTATCCAGGCAGCGAGTTTTAAAGAGCAGCAATTGGACAGGGCAATGTACTGCACCATTGCAGGTAGGCCCATATAACTTCCCAGTAGGAATCTGTCCACCTGCGCTTGTTTATTTATTAATTTAAAATATTTTTACCCCACCTTTCTCCTTAGAAGGATCCAAGACAGCTTTGTGATTCTGTGTGACCCTGAAATATGGCAACCCTAGGGTTGAGCAATCTCCAAAATTTCCTGTCCTCAGCTACCCTGCTCAGCATTTTCAGACTCAAAGTTGTGGTTTCCAGTAGGAATCTGTCCACCTGCGCTTGTTTATTTATTAATTTAAAATATTTTTACCCCACCTTTCTCCTTAGAAGGATCCAAGACAGCTTTGTGATTCTGTGTGACCCTGAAATATGGCAACCCTAGGGTTGAGCAATCTCCAAAATTTCCTGTCCTCAGCTACCCTGCTCAGCATTTTCAGACTCAAAGTTGTGGTTTCCTTTAGAGGATCCGTCCATCTTGTATTTGCTCTTCCTCCTTTCCTGCTGCCTTCCGCCTTTCCCAGCATGTAATTTCCTGTCCTCGGCTACCCTGCTCAGCATTTTCAGACTCAAACTTGTGGCTTCCTTTAGAGGATCTGTCCATCTCGTATTTGCTCTTCCTCCTTTCCTCGGATGTTCCCAAAGTAGAACAGCAATCCGTTTTGCCTCCTGAGATAACGCAGGCTTGATTTTATCTAGAATCCACTTCTTTTTCTGGCAGTCCATATTGTTTGTTTGTTTGTTTGTTTGTTTGTTTGTTTGTTTGTTTGTTTGTTTGTTTGTTTGTTTGTTTGTTTGTTTGTTTGTTTGTTTGTTTGTTTGTTTGTTTGTTTGTTTGTTTGTTTGTTTGTTTGTTTTATTTGATTTATACCCCGCCTATCTGGACCAATGGACCACTCTAGGCGGCTTTATTATCCGCAAAACGCTCCTCCTCCACCACATTTCAAACAAATCAACTTGTATTCCTTTCAGCATTCTTTAAATCGTGCTGATAATAAGGGTTCCTGGCCACAGGGACGAGCTGGAGCCATAGAGTGGATAGAGTGATGGACTGGGACTCAAGAGAACTGGGTTCAATTCCCCACTCAGCCATAGAAACTCACTGGACGCTGTGTATGTTTGTGTGTGTGATTCCCCCATGTTCTGGCCAACAGATGTGTCATCCGCCTTGAAAATCTGAAAGTATTTTCCTGAAGGAAAAGAGCTGAGCCAGCAAAAATGCCCAAGGTCTGTGTTCCAGAAGGGCTTTCCTGCCAGCTGAATTTCAAGGAGATGAGAGATAACGCCTCAGTCTGGCGGTGGCATCGGAGGGATCCTGCTTGTGTGGCATCCAAGCACAAACCAAAATTGAGGCTTTATCCTCAAACATCCCCAGTACAAATGCAGCTGTTCAGTTCTGAAACACAAAGAAAAAGGCATCAGGCAAAATCCAAAGAAGCAAAGCAAAAACCAGGTGGCACCTTAAAGACTATTATTTTTTAATGTGAGCTTTCGTGGACAAGTCCACTTTGACGGACATACGGAAACAGAATTACTGTAATTGTTGAATGAAAGATCAGTTTTTGCCAAATATTCATTAGCTCTTGGGTATATGGTGCATTTCCAAGTAGTAATTTTGCTTGTGCTGTTTTAGGGCTCTGTTGTAAAAATTCCTCAGGAGACAGAAAACAGACATCAGGCCTGGGCAAAGATGACAGGGGAGAGAAGAGAGAGGAGGGATGGGGATGGGGTTTGAAGATTGGGGATTCACTTACAACTCAAGAGAAGGAAATATTAACTATAAAGGTGAAAGGAGAAGGCAGAGAAATCCCGTGTGTTAATTCAGGGAATATTGACAGTTTTTACCTTGGAGTCTTGTGATGAGAGATGGGCTTTGGTAGTTGCGAAGAAAATAACAGTGGCAATAGATCACAGCAGAAGTGCTACATTTGGTAATGATGAAACCTAGGCTTATGTTCAGTCCATTTATAAGGATATCCGTCATGCGTATAAATTTTATCTCAGCCGTTTCCCTCTCTTTTCTCGATCTGTAGTGTTTCTTTTCCAAGATATCCATCATGAGTATAAATTTTATCTCAGACGTTTCCCTCTCTTTTCTCGATCTTTAGTGTTTCTTTTCCAAAATAGCAACTTTCGAATCTTCCACAGAGTGTCCTGGTAGATCAAAAGGGTTGGAGACAGGTTCCTATGTATTGTGGTTTCTGATGTCTGATTTGTGTTCATTGATCCGTTTATGTAAAGATTGTCCTCGGCAGAGGGCAGAGGGAAACGGTTGGCAAAAGAGGGCACAGATCCCACTCGCCGGGGAGCAGGTGAAGATGCCCTTGACATTGTTGTGTGTGTCATTGTTAGGCCCTGTAATTGTGTCACTAGAATAGATGTGGGGGCAGAGTTGACGTCTGGGTCTGTGGCAAGGGTCCATGTCCATGTTGCTGTTTTGTGGTCCTTTTTGTGTGTTAGCCTTTGCTTGTGGTTGGGGGGGTTGTCTGTAGGCAGCTGTGGGTCTCCCTCCCACCAAGAGCTTGGGAGAAGGAGGTGATCTGGTCAAGGATGGGCCAGAGACCCCCTTAAGATGTGTATGAGCGGTCAGACATCAGAAGTGGAAAACAGAGATCACGCGGTAAAACATTCGTGCAAGGCTATAAGACACAGTGGTATACAGTTGCATTTCACATGTACAATGATTTATGACCTTTATTCAGTTCATAAATCATTGCACGTGTGGGTTTCATGACAGTGGAAACTCGAACCGAGATCTCTAAAGTCCCAGTCCTGTATTGTCACTGCTACAATACAAACATACGTATTATAAACATCATCTTTGCTTGGGGCTCCCATTGGTTCAGCTGGGTGAGGCTTAGTGTGCAACCAGATGGCGGCGTGAGCTCACACCCAATTCCACCAAAAAGGCTTATTCCAACCAGAGGGATCTCCTTTAAAACAACCCATCTGCCAGGGAATCACTCTAGCCCAGCCCTAAAAGGCAGAAGGAACCATCCAGCCGGACTAAAAAGTTCCAGTGTCGTGGTTCAGGGTCAGGCTGGCGCGTGCTTTCCTCTGTGCGCCATGCGAGTGCCAAGAAACGCACGGCGCCTGGTCTCTCCACAAGCCGTCCAAATTGCAGTCCTCTTTCCCAGTTCGGTTACACCCTTCGTTCAGATCTTAATTCTTTGCCTGCCATCAATGGGAGACCCTCAGTTACTCAGGCTAAGGGCCGTATTTAATTTTAGAGGTGACATCGGGGTCCACATTCTGGGGATGAGCCTCACCAGAAAGAAAAGACGGGAGAGCTGGAAGGCAGACGCCAGCAGGTAAGCTCTAAGTCAGCTTCCGGAGAGCCACGTTAGAGGTTTTCAGAATGGGGAAGATGGGAAGGCTCAGAGGAGAGAGTCTTAAGCATCTGAGGAGTCCCAGGGACCTGGATCGGGCCCTTAGGGGGGCCAGAGAGGACGCCCAGGGTTTATAGCTCCCCACTCCATGTGAAAAGCCCAAAGTGGAAAATGACATTTAAAAAAAGAAAATTATTCCCTAATGAGACATTCAGACCTCGCTCTGCTAAGTGTATCCGTGGCAAATCCACCAATTCAGCAAAACGCGAAAAAGATATTTGTTTCTTGACATGAAGAGTGAGGCCAGGGAACGCAATGGGAAGAGATCGGGGCCCTTTGATTAGGTTACCCAGCAATGACGGGCTCTGTTAACGTGGGGCCATAAGGGGTTTTCTCCGTAATCTGATTAATTGAACCAAAAGATGAATACCGGGGATGTGACCTCTGGCAGAAGATCTGTCTAGTGAAGGCATCACGGGAAATAATAGGAAATGCAGTGCTGAACCTCTGCGTGGAAACTGTTTTCAGTAAAATAAGTGGCTGCAGGGCACATAAGTGTGCTGGAAGAGCATCTAGCGCAATTCCGTCCTTAAAGATTGTTGTGTTGTCATTACATCCTGTGACATCAACTCTGACTAATGGCGCTCTCCAAAAGGTCCCATCCTCAAACAGCCCTGCTTAGCCCTTGCAGACGCCCGCCGGTGGCTTCCTTGAGAGAGTCAGTCCATCTCGTATTGGGGCTTCCTCTTCTCCTGCTGCCTTCTCCTTTTCCCGGCGCGGTTGTCTTTTCCAGAGAATCCGTCCTTCTCGGAACAGTCTCGGTTTTGTCATTTTTCCCCCCTCCATAGAAAGTTCAGGCTTGATTTGATCTAGGAGAGTCGTTTTGCCTTTCTGGCCATCCAGGGCGTCGGCAAAACTCTCTTCTGGCTCCCTCTTCCAAATGAATCCTTAAAGGCTTGCTGGCAGGTTTGTTCTCAAGGACCACGTGGTCACGTTTTCTGCTGTCTGTGTGTGAGACACGGCTTAAAAGATGAGGCACCCCATCTCTCCCTGGTTTAACGAGAAAGGTGTCCCGCCGGCACCAGAGGCTTCCTCCTGTGAAGAAGAGTCCCGGAACAAAGGGCTTGGCGGCTGAGAAGGATGACTCAAGAGTAGGTGGGCTCCTCGGGAGAAGGGTTTTCCATCCAGGGGCCAAATCCTGCCACTCAGTTCTTCCTCCCACCTGTGCAAACCCTTGCAGCTGAGGACTGAGTGGAGCTCCCTCAGCCCGAGTGCTTCAAAAGCCTTCAGCTTGGTTTGTGAGCTATGGGTGAAGATTCTGACTGTTTTGTACCCTGATCTTATAGCTGGTTCCTGGTTGCGTGTTATCTTTGGATCTCTGAATCTAGATCTGCAGGACTTCACACCCTGGTAAGACTCTGCTTTCTAGCCTTGGAATTAACCCCACCTGGAGTGTTTGTAGGCACATTGTGTTGTTTATACCATCCCAGGGTGTGCATAAGCCAGGGGTGAGAGGAGGGACATGGGCAGTCAAGCTGAGCATCCTGTTTGGAGGGAAGAGAGCACCACCATCGTGACTCCTAGGCCTTCTTTTTGCATAAGCCGTGGCAGATGAATAGCAGAATGGGTAGGTGGCATGTTCATCATGGAGGGCTGAGCCGTGGCAGATGAATGGCAGAGATTTGAGGGTAGGTGGCATGTTCATCATGGAGGGCTGTGAGTAAGGGTGTCTGGATGTGCAATTCTTTGGTGCATGTTTCTGCCTTATTAGTATACCTACAAAATGTCCATTTTCTAGGGTTCTACTGGATGTGAAGACTGATGCAATTCTTTGTTGCATGTTTCTGCCTTATTAGTATGCCTACAAAATGTCCATTTTCTAGGGTTCTAGGCAACCACATTCTCTGGTTATCTTGGGATATTCGGCCCATTTTTCTGGGCATCCCCATGCCTCTTTGAACCCTCAACTGCTCCTTCTTACTTTTTACTTGCCTTATTTCTGTGACATCACAAGAAGACTGATGCAATTCTTTGTTGCATGTTTCTGCCTTATTAGTATGCCTACAAAATGTCCATTTTCTAGGGTTCTAGGCAACCACATTCTCTGGTTATCTTGGGATATTCGGCCCATTTTTCTGGGCATCCCCATGCCTCTTTGAACCCTCAACTGCTCCTTCTTACTTTTTACTTGCCTTATTTCTGTGACATCACAAGGCCCTAACCACTAGCTTTGAGTCACTTGGCCTCCGAATACGGCCAAGTAGTCATCAGACTGGCAAAGGAGGCCCGTGTTTACCTTGCAAGAACCAATCACAAAACAGAGCAAGCTCATTGGTGAGATGCAGAAGGAAGAAGAGCTAAGCCCTAGATGTCATAAATGCATCGCAATCCTAAATCTTGCAATCCTTTCTTCCCCAACCATAAACAAGAACTAGGTTTCTTCTTCCCATTCATTACTATTACAGATAATGTGGAAGTGGGGTGGGGCTGATGGCCAGAGAGGCAGAAAGTAAACTGTTTACATGCTCTGGTTTATTTTCAGCAGGTTGTCTTATTTGTTTAGTCGGTGCTAGTATTTAGTGTAGTTAAGATTTATTTTATTTTATTTTATGTCTGTTTCACTTTGGATGTAAATCACCCGGAGTTGTGTCTGCTACTAAGGGTGCAGGATACAAGTTAAATAAATAAATAAATAAAAGAGTTGTGTTTGCCACTAAGGGTGCAGGACACAAGTTAAATAAATAAATAAAGGCAGACACGTAGCTGCGTCTAATGGCATATAAATACTGTATTTTAAATAAATAAATAATAGTGACCACTGGTTTACTTACAGAAAATAATGAAAAGAACTGGCACAACCAATGAAGTCTTAGGTAATTAAAAAAAAACAAGGGAAGGAATGGTAGTTGCAAGATGTAGAAAATATAATGTTCTCCATTTCAGTGTTAAACGCCCAATGCATTTCGGCCTGTTGGCCTTCTTCAAGGGGGTGTT